CACTGAGCGAAGGGTCTGATGCATTACTGCCAGGGACCTTGGTAGCCCTTAGCTGGTAAGAAACAGCAAATAGTGCTCATGTGCTATATAGTACAGAGCAGCAGAAACACTGATGTAAGGTATGGAAGTTAATTATTTTAAGTTTGTGAGCCACCTAGTTCCTTTTAAAAAGTGTCTTTTGAGGACATTATGAAATCTGAATAGTATATGACCCAAGTTTTGTTGCATATTCTGTACATTTTACCTACAGAAAGGCAGCAAAGTGCCTCCTCCCTGCTGGCACTGCCCAGGCCAGAGGGCAGGGCACAGTTTCCCCACACTCTGCCTTGCCTCCCCAGAGCATTCCCAGGCTTAGGAAGGGGAACCACAGGGAGACGACCCTGCCAGCAGAGACTGAAGTCCCTCCCCAAAAAAGGATAAAATGTATTTAAATTACTCTCCTCATACTATTTCATGAATTCTTTGATTGAGGCATCCGTTGGTCTAGGCCTTTGTATCTCACATCTTGCAAAGGCCCTGTATAATTTGAATTCAGTGACATATTCTAAAACTATGAAAAATAGCCCCTTATTTCCGAGAAACCCTATGTTCTGTAGAAGCTCACTCAAATTCACTGGGAAAAAAGTTAAATAATAAATATAGTGCATATTAATTAAAAAGTTGTATATGCCTAAACTTTACAAATAGCCATCTCATTATGAAATAACTGTCATACAATTCTGAATTGTGAATAATAAATGTAAACATCCCAGAAAAATTTAATCTGACAGTCTGTCCCTTAGATCCCCACTCAAGCTCAGTTTGTGGTGTACATTTATTTTGGGGTAGGAATGCTGGTTTTGTATATATTTAATGTCATGAACAGTGTATATTTCCATGGAGATTAGAGCTTTGACAGTGTCACAAATCACAGAAATGTTTATGTAAATGCAGGTTTTCCCAAAACATACCCCAGTGCAGGTAATCACACTTGTATTTCAGAGTGGAGACGTAAATTACCACCCAGTTCCCTATCCTGACAGCTAACCTACGTAGTCCTGTGCCTGGAGCCCCCTAAGCTGGTAATGCTCATGACACATGATCTTAGAACAGAAAGGTCATTTGGCAACTGGAAATGATGGTTTGGCAAATTATACACATGGTTAGGAGTCTTTCTGTGTCCCTGATAGCATCTCAGTATTCACACTTGAAACCAACACTTGGAAAATTTTGACATCATAGTGATATTAATACATACTAGTATAAAAAATTTTGGAATGCTGTTCACCCTCAATGGTGACAAATTTCCCACTCACCATTATTGTTCAACAACATCCTGATAGTTATACCTTAATGGTCACTTTAAAATCCCTCCAATGAACGTTCTTTGGTGCAGAAACCCTCAAGGTCTCGTGAAGCCACAGAGCCTATTGTTCTGGCTGAGCAACTGCTTTTCTGCTCTTAAGGACACACAAAAGCACTGTCGCAAAACAGATTTATTTCCTTTAAGTAAACACTTGAATGGCATTTGGATGTGTGTATTTTGCGAGAATAAATCACAGATAATAAATGTCTCTGGTCCCCTGCTACAATTAAAAAAATCATTTAAGATACCAAAACCCACAAGTTCAATATTGTTCTGGAACAGTTTTCAAATGGTATCTAGACACTCTGCCTTCCCAAACTGTCCATGCTTTTATCTATAACAGATTACAGGATGGTATAAATTGCCACCAAAATTATTTGGACTGTTTCCTTCTCAATTCTCACCAACAGTTGTGGAATGGCTGCAGTGATTGTACCCTGAACTTGGATAGATTATTTTATCGCATTTGGGTTTAGCCTCTGGAGTTATGCCCTGGAGCACTTCATAGATTCTTCCAGGCCTTTTGTCCTCAGAACAGCACAGTGGGAACATCATCAGCTCAGGTGATGAGTGAATGCAGAAATGCAAAAAGTCAGTCAGACTCACATGAAACGTAATTCTTCATGGGCACAAGATTTACTAACGATTAGCAAAGGCTGCGTACCCAGAATGACAGCCCGTGCAATGTCCTCTAAAAACATTGCTACATCAGTAATCAGTTTATAGCAATACCTGTAAGACCCTCATAGTCAACAGTTACTTTTTGCCAGGGTTCTCTCCTGACCAGGGTCACAGAGGAGGGAGGAACAGCTTACAACTACAACCCTTTCCTTTGCAGGTGACTTCTTATCTGATGCTTGTGTGTAGCATAGTTCAGCTTTTCCCTGCCTTTTTAGTATTGTAGTGTATTTGAAAACCTAATCTGGCAGACTCCAAGAACCAGCATGTATGTAAATATCTTGGGAATGTGGTTTACTGGGATGGTGGGATCTGTGTAAATGCAGAAATGTGAAGGTGAGTGATTCCTGAATCAAAGGGATCAGGGGATAGCATCCCGGAGGTAACTGTAGGGCCTGGACAGTTTTGCTCCTTTTTAAACAATCTAATCTATTGATTTACATTGTTTGGTGTATTTATTTTAGCCATCCTGAACTGAATGAAACCTATGAGATCTTTAAAAACTGCTGATTCTTCTGATGAGGTGACCATTTCTGAGGACAGTTTTAACTCCTTTTGAGAGTGGAGCTCTGCAGCTGTTGTACCTGTGGCTTCAGTCTCAATGAAGCATCCTCGACATTCCTAATAACTGGGTTATTTGAGATACTAATGATCAATGGGATGTTACTATCAGTTGTCAATGTCTTTCCCAGGAACCCACTCCTGATTCTGTGTTAGTAGGTTACAAATAGTGCTTACCAAGTATTTATTTTTTTATTGATTTATAATCATTTTACAATATTGTGTCAAATTCCAGTGTAGAGCACAATTTTTCAGTCATACATGAACATATATATATTAACTGAGACTTTTTTTTCTCAGTAAGCTACCATAAGATCTTGTGTATATTTCCCTGTGCTATACAGTATAATCTTGTTTACCTATTCTACCAAGTATTTTTAAGACCACATTTCAGGCATTTGGAAATTGTTTGTTAACCAGTCTTGCAAGATTCTCTTTGGAAAGTTACTATATTAATTTATCTACAGAAATGTGAACTCTGTTTTAGTATATTTGAAGGGAGCATCTTGGCCAACAATGTGTCATTTTTAGCATGAAATCAGTTGCTCTCTGGATTTACAACCTGTCTTGGAAAAATCATCTGATACTTCCCAAAGAATATTTCTTCTCATATTCCTCCACAGCATGTTACACTTTGACTTGAGTTTAGATTTAAATAACATATGCATTATGTTTTTGTTAAATCCTATATATTAATGTATTATTATACAGACATAAACATATATACACACATTTACAAAGCATGCACTCCACATTCAGTCTATTGTAGGTCAATTTCTTAACTCTTTATGAAGATAAATAGTAGAAGGATATATGTTTCCTTTAGCTCTGTACTACTTAGAAATTACATGCTTACAAATGATGTAATTCCAATGTTTTCTGAAATAAGTACTCTAAAAAATTCCTTCATGTCCCTTCCCAGTAAAAATTCCCAAAGGAAACCACTGATCTGCTCTCTATAATCTTAGTCTTTTGATGATCTAGAAATTCATAAAATTAGAATCATAGGGTATTCATGCTTTGACCTCTCATACAACAGAAAGGTTTTGAGGTCCTTCCATGCTATTGCATGTATCAACAGATTGTTCATTTTTATTGATGAATGGAACTGCATTTTGTGACTTATCAGATTTTTTCCATTGTAGATTTTTGCATTGTTGTTAAGTTTTGTGCTACAATGAACAAAACCACTGTGAGACTACTCTTGCACAAACCTTTTTTCTGGACATTTGTTTTCATTTTTCTTAGGAAAAGATACAACAGTGTAAATACTCTATCATAGAGGATGTATGTTTAACTTTCTAAAAAATAGCCAAACACTTTTTCAGAGCAATTGTATCACTCTATATTCCACAAGCGACACGTGAGGGTACCAGTTGCTCTGCATCTTTACTAATATTTGGTATTATCAGAGTTTCTGTTTTAATTTAGCCATTTTAGTGATTATGAAGTGGTATTTTGTGATGTTAATTTGCATATACATGAAGATGAAAACACTGAGCACATTTTCATGTGTTTTTCGATATGCATACATCTTATTTTGTGAAATGTCTGGTTTTAGCTTTGTGCTCACTCTTCACCAGATTGCTTGCCTTTTTATTATTGACTTGTACACATTCATTATATATTCTAGTCCAAATTTTTATATGTATTGATTCATGGTTTTGTTGAATTTTAATTAGATGTGGCCAACTTGAAAAGGAGGAGAAAAGATGATTTGAAATGTCAAACAAATTATTATGAAAATTAAATTTTACCTATCATCCAGCTAATCATCAGTATCATATTTGGGGCTTTAATAGTACATAGTCTCAAACTCCATCCCTGGCAGTTTTTATTGGGTAGGTAGGAATTTTTAAATTAATTTAAACATTTTACTTCAAGAATGATTTATTTCTATTAACTAAGTAAAAGAAATAGCATTAGGAAAAGTCACTGTCACCTTACTTTCTGGACACAAACCTCTTCAGTGCACCTGTTACATCCTTATTTCTCAGTGTGTAGATGACAGGGTTCAACATGGGAGTCACCAGGTTGTAGAAGAGGGTAAGGAATTTCCCTTGGTCCTGAGAAGAACTATTTCCTGGTTGCATATACATATAGATAATATTCCCATAAAACAAGGAGACTACAGTTAGATGGGACCCACACGTGTTGAAAGCCTTCCTTCTTCCGGCGGCCGACTTAATCCTCAGCACTGCTAGGGCAATGTAGCTGTAAGACATCAGGATAAGTGACAGGGGCACCAGAACAATTATTACTGATAAGATGAAAACAGTGCTCTCCACAGCCACTGTGTCCACACAGGCAATTTTTATCAGAGCTGGCATCTCACATAGAAAATGTTTCACCATACATCTCCCGCATCATGGCAGCTTCATAGTCACTGGAGACATAACCAGGGAGTTGAGGAGACCAACTCCCCAGGCCACAGACACCAACTTCCAGCAGAGCTGAGGGTGCATGAGGACAGAATAGTGGAGGGGCTTGCAGATTGCAGTGAAGTGGTCATAAGCCATGACTGCCAAGAGAACACATTCTGTGCCACCCAGTCTCAGGAACATGAAGAGCTGGATGGCACAACCCGTGTAACTGATGGTTTTGTCTGGGCTGCCTAAGTTGAAGAGTAGCTGGGGGATCGAACTGGTGGTAAAGCAGAGATCTAGGAAGGACAGGTTGGTGAGGAAGAAGTACATGGGTGTGTGGAGGCAGGGGTCCAGGCAGGAAACCAAGATAATGACAATATTGCCCACTAAAGTCACAAGGTAGAAGATGAGGACAAACACAAAGAGGATCTGCTCTAGCCTGGGTCTGTCTGAGAAACCCAACAAGATGAACTGTTCCTGGCAGCTCTGGTTGGTCATGACAGTGGATAATCAGTACACACCTGCAGGGAAGCAGATAGGAGTGCACCATGTTCTTAATGAAGCAGGCTAAGGAATCCATAGAATCAGAAGGCTTATACCAAGTGATCATGCAAAATAATACATAAAATTTCACTATTCTGTGTAGATATAGATTATATACTTTAGGAAGAATATCTCTTTTTATTGTCTTCTTTTTTGGATACAAAAAATTACAGATCATTGTACAATATTTAGAAAACACAAACATATGTAAAGGGTAGGAAAAGATTACCCACATCCCAGAAACAATCACTACTGCAATATTGATTTATTTCTTTTCACTCTTTTCTTATGAGCATATGTAATTTAACACAACCTAAATAATGGTGTGTTTATACATTTTATATTCTAAATTTGCTTTCACAATTGTACATTGTGAAAATTTGCTTTGATTTTAAAAGTTCTACAAAAAATAATCATTAATATCTGCATAATATTGCTATAGCTTTGTCATCATTTTTCTAATCATTTCTCTGTAGTTAGTTATTAAGGATATTTCCAATATTTTAAAGGTCTTGCTAGAAAGATTATAAAAGTACCTGTTTTACTGCATTCTAACCCAGTATATTTTCCCCTAAATCTTTGGCAATTGTTTGGTTCCCCCCAAATCTCATATTGTTTAAATTTGATATTACCTATGAGGTTAATTAATTTTTTGATGTTTATTCATTTATTGCATTTGTGAAAACATTTGTCACTGAGATCATAGGAAAGTCTATCAATAGAACTCAAAAGTGACTCTTTGCATACCAGTGCAAATAAAGGTAAAGGCTGATTTTATTTTTACTTATCGGAATTCACGGCACCACCTTTCAATTTATACTTAACAATTGAATCCATAACAACATATGAATTCTTTTGTAAGTGATGTGATCCTTATTTCTACTTTATCCTTTATATGAAGTTCTTATTTTCCCTACCTCCAACTATATTCTCACATAGTTCATAAAACTGAAATTTTATGTTCAATAAATTGAAATTTTATGAAGACACAATTATGGAGTTTTCAATGAATATTGTATTTTAACAATTTCTTCATTTTATGAATGATGTTCATAATTATATTTTTAACTGGATATAACTGAGGCAGACTTACAACTTTTTAAGTGACAAATTATAAAATAAATATAGTCATTGATATAAATAGAAACTTATATTTATATAAAATGATATAATAAAATTATAAATATGTAGAATGATATAATTCCATTTATATCATTTATAAATTTATATGATTTATAAACTTTAATACATTGACAGAGAATACTATTATGTTGCCTTAAAAATATGCTGTTTTAGTCTCCAAGAAAGAACTAATTGTCAAATAAGAAAAAAATCCAGGTAAATCAATTTTTCATAGTTAAAAGCAATGGATCTATTCAAAAGTCATAAACAAATGCTTTTAAAAACTTTAATATGTACAGGAAAAATCTCAAAATCCTGTCAGTAATTCCTCGAAGCAAAGATTCCCTTTGACTGCATTATATAATTGAAGAAGTAAAGGTTTTAGTTTCATTCGAATGTGTCAAAAGCACTTCCAAAATCAGACAGTTTAAAACACTCTAAGAGGATTTTATGACCTTATGTGTAACAGGACATTTCTCAGCACCTCAAATTAATAAAGATGTTTCCTGTGCTGTATCTACAGACTATGGTGCTTGACTCAGAGACTTTTGCTCAGTACTCTATGTATTGTCCCTTTAAATCATTACCTCCCAGGGCTGATGTGATTTACAGTTTTCAGTGCCACCTCTCCCTCAGGTGCTTAAAGGGCTTTGTGACTCTACCAGTTACCACTTCAAATAGTCACTGTAACTAGTTCCTACTATAACTAGTGAGCTTTTCTCACCAAATAAGTGTAATATGAGATCCAGGTGGGACAGGTGAGAGCGAAGGGATCACATCTCCATCGCCACCTCTACACCAGTACTTCATACACACTGATATCTTTACACACCATTACACGTTTGTGAACTGCACACCATAACTATGTTTTAGGTGTTAGTTATTATGATTATAAACCAGAAAAGACAGGTCTATGTTATACATGATCAAGAAGAGAACTGAAAAAGACAGTGCATTTTGAGTATAATTACTAGCAGTGTTATTACTAAAGACTAAACTGTTTTACTCAGTTTAAATTAATTAGAGTTGCATAGGTGGCCTGAGAAGAAAACTTGACTGGAAGTTATATTCTAAGTGATTTTAAAAGGCCTCTCCCAATATTGATACAACCTTAGATCAGAGAAGTCAAGATATGACCTTAGGAATAAAGATTACTGAAAATATTTATATTAATAAATAATTGCATATTCAACAAATATTTATGAAACTCCTATTACTTACCAAGCTCTGTATTATATGTCAGAGATAAAAGATTTCTAAGATAGTAATTTACTTTATTGATTTGTAGTCTAGGGGAAGAAACAGACATTCATCAAAAACTCACACAAATTAATGTATAATGACTATCAATGATATTAAGCCCTCACTTATTGCCTAGAATTGTGCTAAGTATTTTCTTGGACTGTCTTATTTAATCCTCACACCTGAATTTGAAGGTAGGCATTTAGTAACTTACTGAGGGTACACAGCTGGGAAGATGTAGATGTGGAATTCAGATCCGTGTCTGACTCTCAAATCAAGTTTCTAAACACCATGGGGCTAAAACAGAAAGATAATGTATTTATTTATGACCCCAGTTGGATGCAGTTGAGTGCTCTGAGTCCTTTAATCACTGATTTATTCCCAATCAAATGAGAATGTCAAAGAAGTCTATTTAAGATAAGTTAAGAATATGTCACCAAAATTCAGTTTTCTTAAACAAATTAAAAAAACAGTTATTAATTAGTTCAAAGTTTGCTGGATTTTAAGTAAAAAATAATAACTTCAAACATAACAATGTTACTGACAAAGTTATGCTAAAAATAGTCTTTTTGGGAAACATTGATATTGTAAATACAACCTAAAACAATGATTGAAAAGATTATAATTGAAATTATTAGACAGTCTGACATAATTTATTTTCCATAATCACAGAGTAAAAATAGATAAAATATGCAAAAAATCTAGATGCATTTTAAATATTTTAAATCAATAATTACAACCAGAAAATATATTATGTGGCATGTGTGTATATACACACATGGATACTATTAGTCATTCTTCTATTGGTCACTGTTGTTTTTAAAATTTTTTAAATCTATTTTGTTTGTTTATTTCTTACTTCTTGAACATTACTTTTCATTAGGTGTCAGGTGGGTGGAAATGTGCTCAGACATATGGGGAGAACTGTGATATTTCTCTTACTCAATTTTGCTAATCTGCTTCTCCTTTACCTGTTATTGGGCTTAGAGTTGTTAGAAACCTAAGGTCAATTTTGACAAAGCATGAGTTTACTGCTGACAAAAGCCAGGAGGTATATAATAGGAGGAGAAGTGGAAGGAAAGCAAGAAGTAGTTCTAAATGTGGTGAAGCAAGGTATAGAAGTTTGAGTATATCGTAAAAGTTACACAATCAACGGAAGAATAACAATAACAATAAACTGATAGTATAGGTAAAGCACCTACAACAGACACTAAAATTGGTAGATCAAAGGATCAATATATAAGTACATGCCTAGAATTAATAAATTGAGCTTAAAGAGAAAGAGTTAAAAATTTCATCCTTGAAGTGTACAAACTGGTGTTGGAAGACACTATATAAAATTATTTTTGCTGTTATTGGCAGATCTTTTTGTACTTATTCTTACTTTAACTTTTGCATATATTATTTTTATTAAAATACATATTACATTTAAATGCGTAATACATTTAAAACAAAATTTACAATTTAGTTACTTAGAAAAATATAAACATAAAATATACAGCTCACAGTAGTATATCGGAACAATCGTCCAAATCATGGCTCTCCCCTTACCAGTCTTATGACCTTGGTCAAGATATTTAACTGCTCTGTTTTCAATTTCCTTTTCTGTGAAATAGAAATGGTAAAGTACACATCTCACAGAATTATTGTAAGGATGAAACTATATGTATAATTATATTGGATACCATATTGAACTGTAACAATGATTTTCATTAACTTGATCTCTTTCTCTCTTTTTTATTCCGTTAAGTCTCTTCTATTCCATTGTGAAATGGAATCCAAGAAAACATTTCAAAATTGATATGGACAAAAGTATTAAATGCTTCTAGTATGTCACACAAAGAAAATAATAATATCAAGAATAACTTGTATTACCAAGCACAGATCTTGAATGTTAGTACTTCTCATATTTTAGATCCAACTTACTTCAAATATTATTCTGATACCATCTTTACACTTGACTCAAATACCATTCATATGCTGATGCTTATCAATTAAATAGCTCTTAGATTTTTATTCTGAAATATAGATCTGCACATTCAACTTTTTCTGAATATCTTTACTTGAGTGACCAACAGATAATTGAGAAAGAGGCAGCAGTCTGGTAATCAGCCCAGACCCTGAAGCATGGTTTCACATCCCAGCAATGCTACTGAGTAGCTCAGAGACCTTGGACAATTTACTTAAACACTCTGTGCCCAATTTTATAACCTGTAAAATAGGCATAATAATAGTTCCTAATTCAAAGGGTTGTTTAAGGGGTTAAATAAATTAGCTTTCAACATGCTTATATTTTGGTAAAGACTTCAAGCAAAACATATGTATACTTTAAATTTGTTTGTTGAATTACATACCAGGACTTTCTCAGTCTGTCAGGCAAACTGACTCTGGACATGACCAGGTACATCCCAAACCCAGGGACAACAAAGCTTCAGTTCTCATGTAGATTGTTAAGGCTGTGGGAAATTGTTAGGCTCAGAAGACCAGACAAATTTAAAGAACTAGTATGAAAATTTGGATATGAAGTAGGTTCTGAAATTTAGGAACATGGGATGCAATGTGCTGATGGATGACTCTGCCTTGATGATGCTCTCCCACCGTTAATCTGTCTCCATGTTCTCACTTTTACAAAGGCAGCAAAGAATAGTAGGTAAGTCCATTTTGGGTAGATCAATCTTCATTTGAAGTAAGGCTCAGCCCTGGTTTGTAGCTATGTAACCTTAGGCGAGTTATATTCACATGAGTATCCTTAACTGTCCAGTGAGATGACAACAACAGCAACAATATCCCTTATCTGGGGTAAAGATAAAGAAGTTAATTTGTGAGATATTTGTTATTCTGCCTAATATATCATATACCCA